GGGACCGACCGGCGTGGCGAACAAAGCTTTTTCACATCTGATTTTGGCATGTCAAATATGAAATCAAGCGCCGAGGTGGGAACACATAGTGCCGAGATTCACAGGTATAGCGTCGTGGACCTCAGCGCTAAAAAGCCCTGGGGAGAACCCTGACATAGAATAATTTGTGAACGTATAAATCAACGATTTCAAACTTTTTGCATTTCGTAAATATTGATAGTGACCAATCGGTTTGTATTTCAAATAATTGGAACATGTTTCTATTAAATTGAAGAGTATAGTAAATAACTTAGTGTGTATTGCAGTTCATGACATAAATGCTAGAATGCTGTATGTAAATGATATGCAAATTAATATGCAAATTTATGCTAATTAGGCCACACACCAGCTATTTTGGATAGTGGAGAACACTGTTTCAATGAAACTTGGTACATAGATGTCATATGACACTGCACAGACCTGATAGTTTTTAGGGTAATACATGTATTAGCATAATTAGTTAATTTTCAGCTTTTCGCCTGATAACTCAAGTACTGATCATCATATTTCAATGAGACTTGCTACATGGATACTCTAGGACTATGCAGAGACCTGATTAGTTTTAGGGTAAATAATTATGGATATTAATTACCTATTTCCCATAATTAGTTAATTTTTTCCATGAATGTTCCACTGATATATAAAGAACCACTAATTGGATTTTAATGAAACTTTTATAGAGTATTCGTCATCACATTTCAATGAACCTAGGACTATGCAGAGACCCAATCGTTTTTTGGTAAATATTTATGCATATTAATCACCTAATTAAAATAATTAACACTTATATCTCAATTACTGATCATCACATTTGAATAAAATTTGGTACATTAATGCTCTAGGACAATAGACGGGCCCAATTAATTTTGGGTTGAAATTAGTTCATATTAATTCTCTAATAATAAGTTTTTTTGTTCTAATTGCATTTCAATGAAACTTGGTACATATATATTACATTAAGCAGGCCTTATTAGTTTTACACTCAAATCTGCTCATATCAGTTACCTGATTTACATAATTATCTCAAGTACAAGTAATTTTGAATTAATTTTTAGTGTGTCTTCAATACTCTCAGCACATAGGAGTTCTTTCTAAGCTTTCTTTGATTTTGTTTTTGTGGAGTGCATTACTACTGTAAAACATGTTGAAAAAGCGGCATGCAATTTTAGCGAATTGTAGTAAAATGACGTAATAGTGAAAGGTTGATTTAGGGAATCATTGTCATTGTTGATTTCTTTGTTTGGCGGCCATTTTGAATTGATAATAAAGTCATTAGCGACATCTTGAATTAGCGAATCAGTTCTCCCGCTAAATTCACGAAAAAGACATGTTTTACAGTATTAACAGCAAGTTGCAGATACAAAGTATTGAGAAAAAATAAATCAGTTTGTTGTTGTTGCGATCCAGCCATAAACAAAATACACCAATTCACCTGTGGATTTCATCTTTTGTGACTGATTAACATTTCTGCACCCAATCAGTGTCTTGGTGTAACAACTGAATTATTATGTTTGTATTTATGTAGGTATGAGGCCACCACCAATAGGCCATGGACCAATGCCAGGAATGCCTATGCCTGGAGGTTTACCAATGATGCCCCCTATGGGACCAGGTGGACCTATGCTACCATTACCACCAAACCAAAATGGCCCACCACCTCTCTCAATGGATAAGAAATAAACTGTATTTATACGGGAAACGAGAGGGGCAGTGTGTCAACAGTTTACAAACATAACTCATGCTCTTTTCAGATTTCTGGTCTCAATCAAAGCATTATCTTCCCATTCCTAGTCAGCTAGATTTCGTAATATTGCTCGTCATTCCCCATTTTATAATGAGTTGAAACAAATGAAGGCAGTGAAGTGTACTTTCCAAATGTGACCATCTGACCAATTTGTTTCCATTGACTGTATTAGCAGGAAACCATGAGATGACTGTCTACTAGTTTAACACTGAGAAGATTAACTGGTTTATTGTGGTCTTTAGTGACGATATTTTTCTCTCAATAGGGCATTGAATTTTTGACAAATCAAGGCTTTCATTTATCAAATGTAAGGGAATCAAGTTGCACGTATCATGGAAAGTTTGAGAAAGTCGTTAATCCCAAAACACTGATAAATCTATGGTAATGATCTCCAAATGCAATTTACTAGTAATATTCATCCACATGCAAAAAGTCTTCAGTGATATGTTTCTACATTTTCGGCACTAAACCTCACAGTTTAATGATTTTTTTTGTACTTTTCATAGCGACTTATTGCACTATTTCAATGCCAAAAATAAATCTTGAAGATTGGATGAATTTCCCCTGTCATGTCACCCTCTCAATCCTGTCATGTCACCCTCTCAATCCTGTCATGTCACCCTCTCAATCCTGTCATGTAGCAGCCTCAACAGTTTGAGACTCTCGTTCTGTCAATGCCAGTCTTCATGTTGGCAGTGTACATCAGATGGCCACAAGCTCCACATACAACAAATACCTGCTCAGTATACTGCAGTATTTTCAGAACTTTTGTATCTGTTTTTATCATTTCAAGTTTTATGAAATAAAAATATTTTAATTATTATAAAGCCGTGTAATTTCACTAATTTTAAATTTTTACAACATTGTGTTGTATGTACCTCAAACAGTCAGCTGGCGCACACGTGATAATAAAATAAATACGATATTTACTATATGGGGGCCGCCATCTTGAATGCAGCATAAAACTAAATAATAGACAAGTTGTGAAACACACTTTTAAGATTCCTACAAATCTGACATTTCTAAGTACATGTACCACTTTTTGCACTGAAATTTTAGCATTAACTATCGACTCCAATAAATATTTGCGTTCATCATCAAAAATGCTGAAGTGTTGAGCTTGCCTGAGAGGAACATTTTAATTTTACAAAAATGCAAAAACATCGATTATTACATATGTACTGCAGTTTATTTTGTCTCTGAAATCAAAATCGGTATTTCCACAACATATATGCAAATGAGGTCTGAGAGCAAACAAAGTAGTCTCTTCAGGAGTACCGTTTTTCGAAATAAACAATATTTAAAAGTACGATATTTTCCCCTTGGGGTACATGAATATACTTGCCGAGTGAAATGAAATTTGAACAACAGTAATTGTACTTTTAGGCAGTCACTTATTTCGAGTCAAACTAATTTGCATATCACCCATGCAATGTTTTCACGATCGATATGCAAATGAACATATTTCCATTGGCTTCGCTCGTGAAAGTACGGCCGCAGGATACACCGCATCACTCGTGAAAATAACTTCCATACGCAACGAAAGCCACGGGGAGGGTGTGGGGTTCTGTCATAATATTGCACTTGAAAGAAGAAGCACAGTCGCCATGCAATGTGAACGCCTCCTTGGACATGCTGAAATCAAAGACAGCTTAGAATTCCTGTTGGCTAAGGGTGTTGAAGGCATGAAGTGCAAACAAGTTCATGGTGATTTAAGCAAATGCTACATTCATAGTCCGGTACAGTACAGCTCAAACTAAAAACATTGTCAAAACCTTGTTTGTTTGCTTCTGAAATTGAGGAACAAATTAAAAACAAATTGTGTAGCCTTTAAAAGATCCAAAACTTGGATCAAAAGAGAATCAAAATGTTTAATTAAATGTTTGACTGCCACGGTGCCTAATACATTAGTTATACATATTAATTAGGTCACTTGACAATACATAGTTGTCACATCTGTATACCCATGTACAAAGTATCATCATACCCTGAGGAGTGATGGAAAAGCTGAAATTTGGGTAACTGATATGCACTGATTTCAACCAAAAAGTAATCAACTCTATGCATGTCTATGACTAATCTATGTACTAAGTTTCATTGAAATCCATTTAGTAGTTCTCGAGATAATGGCAGAACAAACATATATACACAGACAGACTTAAATATGTATCATAAATAACCACAATATAACTGTTCATATTGCAAGTTTATTGGAACTTTCACACTACACTCAATTTATTTCTTGCTTGGCTTTGCTCGTCTTTTATCAGAAAGTTCATTCAGCTTTTTATCCATCTTCCTCTGCAAATTTGCTCTTTTTGCAGAATCTAACGGTTTCTCACGGGTAACCTGTGCACTCGGTTGACTTTGTTGTTTCATCAGTTTTTGTTTAGCATGTTTTTTAGCCTGATGGCTGCATCCATGAATCTCAGGCAATGAATGAGAAAGACAGAATTTGTTCATGCAGAATACACATGTCTGACCTAGCGTCCTAATAGGTGTTTTACATGACACAAATGTACAAGTGTTGTCGGCTTTGACAACTCTCGCAATCATTGAATCAAAGTCCTCATCTTCGATATCCCTTTTACTCTCGATCGGTTTCTTTTTTTTTCTCGTCATTTTGTTTGCTGACTCCAATACTGATGTACGAGTTGATAACTCGTATTTACGTTCACAATTAATCTCATGTAAAAGCCGGTTGATTTTCGGAATCATGTTCTTGCACATTTGACATCGAAATAAATCCGGTGACAGATCCAGTGTTGGCTTCTTAGATTTGTTCTCATTTCTCTGTGCATCTTTGTTTGAACCGTTTTGTTCCCTCTCTTGATGATTTTCTTTCCTATCTTTCTTCTCCTTTGCATCTTTCTCCTCCACAAGTAAATGATTCATCTGCACCTCATTCTCATTAACATTAGCACTGTTATCATCTTTGGAAAGATGCGATTTTGAGATCATTATATACCGTTCCGATCCTTCTCCTCTGCTGCAATGGAACAGTCCAAGTTTTTCTGCAACCTATCAGTATAAACAGTAACCAGAAACTCATCATCAGCAATAAATCTTGTTATGTTGTATAACCCCTAAAAGGCCACACATCCTGGTACTTTCCGGAAGAATGAATTCATTATCTATGAGTATTTGAGGGTGGACCATTTGAAATCACGCGCGGGTGGGGGTGGGGTGTGGAAGACTTGTTGAAAACAAAATTGCACACTAGCTAAGAGAAAAAAAATTGTATGTAAATTGTTATTGGAACATTCAAGAAAAATAAAAAAATGTACAGAGAAGACATCACAAATTGTACTGGTACTGGTCTTCCAGCAACTCCTAATGATTTCAATTATTTCACCTCTGACTCATATTTGTCAAAAAATGAAATGCTTGATTGTGTATTTTCAACAATAAAATGGCAGCCAGTCGACCATGTTGAATCAGATCATATATATATATATATATCATTCAAACACAATGGATGTGTATCAAGATCTTGTAATTTCCAATGTATGTACAAAGTTTGCATGAAATTGATCTATACACAACCAAGATCTGGTTTAAGAATAGAAGAAATGCTTGATTTTTATGAATTTTTAACATCAAAATGGATACCACTTGGCCATCATGAATCTGATGTATATATAAAATATAAATGTGATCAGTCAAGGCATGTCAGAGATATAGCTGTCAAATCAAATTCATTAAAAAAAAATGGCCACTATTTGTATGTTTAATATAATATCAGTATAATATTTATATTAACATAGTAAGATGAAAGAAAGCATCCAGTGGTGACTATACATAGTAAGATGAAAGGGAGCATGCAGTGGTGACTTTACAGTGCCTTCTGTAATATTGAGACCCACGTTAAGGGTAAGTCCTTAGTCGGAAGGAAGAGGGGAGACTTTATTACGGTACAACAACAATGCCCATCTTCTCATTTATGAATACATACCTCGTGTACAATGAATCTTTCATAAGAATTCAAGGTGTTGGGGAAAGATAACTCAGACTCTTTTAAATTGTGCAGAAAATCATCAATCTCACGCTGAATTGTAGACTCCCTATAACAAAACAAATATATCCAGTAATATAGACTAATGTATGAAACAATGTGTTTTATTTCAGTAACGTGGATGTTACCTCTCGGCAGTCACATTGGTCTGTTTCTCTGAAATCTGTTTCCTTTGTTCACATTTTCTTTCATTTGGTCTTGCCTGTCTGTCATCAGACTGTTTTCTCTTTTCTTTAGTTTTGGGAAATTGAATTTTTGGTTGATAAAACCGACTACCAACTTGGCCTTCTGCAATTAACATATAAAATACTTTTATTACTTTTGATCCTGCTGCAATTTAAAACATCACCTGCTGAAAACTCCCATGAAAGCTTTAAAACAATTTAAATCTTAAAGAGAATATGTTCCCATTCCAATCGAATATCAGTGGTTGAAAAGAACAGTGACAAATACAGTGAATCAGATAAAGAAATGGTTTGTGTTTTTAAGTGTTCATGGCATTGTCAGTGCACTTATTTTTGTGAGAACAGTGACTGCTTGACAAGAGTCAGTTTTATGCACTCAAAGGTTTCTTATTGCTGCTATTGTTATAATAAAACGTTTAGGCAATGTTGTCAAATTAAATGCTGATCAGTACATGGACATGCTGGTTAGCAAAAATATGACAAAAAGATTAACATAAAAAACAAAGTAAATTCTTACTTTCTATATATTGGTATGCAGTTCTCACGTCTCCATTTTCCATCATGTAATCAACCAAACTCTTGAGGAATTCATGATGACTGACAGTCTCTGAGTCACAAATTACAGCTAAGTGTCTTCTGGCCCGAGTAATTGCCACATTGATACGCCTGTCTTCAGCAAGGAAACCTACTTCTCCTGCAAATAAAAATAGACTGTAGAGTGCGCTATTACACAGCTAAGTGTCTTCTGGCCCCAAGCAATTGCCACATTGATACACCTGTCTTCAGAAAGAAAACCTACTCCTGCAAATGAAAATATAAAAGTAGACTGTAGAGGGCGCTATTACACAGCTAAGTGTCTTCTGGCCCCAAGCAATTGCCACATTGATACAACTGTCTCCAGAAAGAAAACCTACTCCTGCAAATGAAAATATAAAAGTAGACTGTAGAGGGCGCTATTACACAGCTAAGTGTCTTCTGGCCCCAAGCAATTGCCACATTGATACACCTGTCTCCAGAAAGAAACCCTACTCCTGCAAATGAAAATATACAAGTAGAATGTAGAGGGTGCTATTAATAGAGTTAAAAGCAATATTGTAGCTTATTGCTGCTCACAAAAAAAAGCTTTTAACTAATGAACAATTTTGCAACTATTAGCTCAATCTGTCTCAAATTGAATTTCAGGGCAAATTGGGGTTTATGGTTTTCTTGCATGCCAAAGGTAAAAGCAAGTAATAAATGATAAATATAACATCAAGTCATTCAAGGCAACTAACCATTTAGGAATTATAACGATATACAACATATATTCATCACAGTGTAAAGAAAATCAAAAAATTTTTTTTGGGGGGGGGGGGGACAGTTTTCAGAAAAATAAATTGGCTTGTCATTTCAGTGTGTCAAATAAACAATACAGTAGGACTGGTGCATGTCACAAAATTGACTCCACTATAATCTAGACAAAGTCTCATAAAATTTAACTGACTTCATCAGTACACCAGTCAAGGACTATGAGTAATAAACTATTAGCCATCAGTTCTATTTATATGTTGATATTGGTGGTTTATTTAATGGTTACTATAAAGTACATATATCCCCAAAGAGACCATTAAACATAAGTTATTGCTGTCACTTAAACTATCAAATTTTAAAGATGCCCCTTTACAAAGAGTGCAAAGCATTGAACCAAAGAAATATGCAGTTGTAATGAAAGCAATGTTTTCACACATTTGTTCTGGAATCTGACCAATTAAAACATGAAATGTGTCAAGCAACACTTATCAATGTACTTTACATACATTGTACAGGTGGCATATCAGATCCATATAAAACACAACACAGGTGTTGTAATAACGTATGACCTTATGACATGTTAAGATGGGTTTGAATGAATACAGGCAGTGTCCTCACTAGGGATTAAAATGTTTAATAATTATGAGACAATTACCTGTTCAAGTGAAACTCAAGACAGAAATGAATTATTTTGTTCCCTTATAGTGGAAACAATGTACTCAAGACAGAAATGAATTATTTTGTTCCCTTATAGTGGAAACAATGTACTCAAGACAGAAATGAATTATTTTGTTCCCTTATAGT